TACTGTCCGAGTGTCTAAACCGAAACAGATAGTTGTCTTATGGACTCACTTATCGAAGCTTTAAACCGAAGACCTAGTCCACAAAACAATGGAGCAATGTCGGGAGATGCTATCCCATGGTAGTTGGTGACAAACAATGGATTGATACGTCATTCATCCCATTAAGATACCGGAACCCATCTGCACCACTGATTTGGAACCAAGGTTTTATAACTAGAATAAGTGGAAACCTCTTTACCTCCCAACCCGGTTTAAGACCCTGCTGGACATTCACTTGTCATCGTTTCAATTTTGTAAACAACAACCCAGGTACGACAAGGCAGCGAGTAAAACTTATCTAGCAGTGGTTATATACATGCATGGTGTCATGTGACAGCACTTCAGCTGTGTCACATCACATTTGGGGGTCATTAAAACACATTTTATATCAACTTAGAAATCTATTAGAATAATAATTCATCCTCTATGTCTGTATAACAGACATTTATCAATTTAAACTAAGCCTACACTTCTACAAATTTCGACCGCATGCCTGCATTTAGGGGGTAACAGACTTAAGTAAAAATGTAACCAAGCTCCTACAAATTTACTATTCAAATCCCATAATAGTAGATAGAGGTAGTAGAAGTAGTAGCAGTGTAATTGAAAAGATATTGTTCGAGATGACCTTCACCCTATTATGTAAAATTATCTTATTCGTATTGTAAAAAACTAGTACAAGTGCCATCATACACACACACATACACTCTATCGATTAGCAACTATGAATTTGTGTATTGAAGAGTAAAAAAGCCTAATAAATTCTCATAGTTCTTCTGATGAGAAGACCTGACCAGTAGAATTCAACCCTGACGGGTGTCGACAGTAACTACCAAAGGCCAATGGGTGAGGTCATGCAAAATCGCTAGAGTGATCAGAGCTACACTGGAGTGCCTCCACATAAACTTGAGTTCGCTCATATTTAATCTGATTACGCCTTTCGACTAACTTATGTAACTAAGCTATTTGTATAGCAACAACTCATATGTACCATTGGTATCTTTTATTATTGTCTGGTTTGTATGAGCTTGTACGACTGAGCATTGCTTACGCCTACGCACTAACTCATCCTTCTCACTTTAATGTAAATCTCTTAATATCCCCATGAACTCACATGACTTTTATCGCTTGCTTTTGACCTTGTCAGTCATTCGTCGCTTTTATTCATGTCCGTGCATACCTATTCCGCTTGTCATATGTCTGTCTTATTCTTATCTGACTATATATTCTTAGTCATGTTCTATCTCTTGTAGTTGGCTCATTCCCGACCGAAGCTGCTACCTTGACGTGGTGGTCGGGCTTGCCTATCGTGATGACCCAACCGAGCTATACTGGCTGGAACACATGTTCCTGCAGGTCCTACCATGCCAGACAGGTCGATTGGAGAACGATGAGACTAAAAGCAGCTACCCAAGGTCTGAGGGCGAAGTCGTACTGCTGACTGACTGCAGAGGGGTGTGACAGCAGTAAGGTGTTTCCCTCGGACAACCAGCATCTGCAGCGATGCTGCCTTCTCACAAGGAAGGAAGGGGGTTGGAAAAGGTCGAACCTAAAAATGTCACACCTAAACCTACCTCACGGTAAGGTAAGGGTGCCCACAAGGGCCTTTAAGAACGGAGCTAATCCTCAGAAAACATTTCATAAAAAGGCCGTAAGCCTCGATTATACTTAGACGTCTAACTAGAGCTCGCGAAGAGCAGACTCGAGAAAACCAGGCTGGTTTTCAACCTGGACGTGGTTGTATAGACCACATCTTCACACTACGACAGGTCCTGGAACACAGACACACATTTAGACGTCCGACAATAGTCGTGTTCCTGGACCTTAAGGCGGCATTCGACTCAGTGGATCGTGAGGTTCTGTGGCAGTGTCTGTCATTGAAAGGTGTACCAAAGAAGTACATTAACCTTATACAAGCTCTCTACTCGAACACCACTGGTCGGGTGAGAGCATATGGCGAACTGTCATCTGAATTCTCTACATCAAGTGGTGTCCGTCAGGGCTGTCAACTCTCTCCATTCTTGTTTAACTTTGTCGTAGACATCCTCTTAGAGTTAACATTAAGCTCGTCAGATTTTTCAGGAGTTGACCTACCAGGAAAGTCGCTTACTGACCTAGAATATGCCGATGACATAGTTCTATTCGGTGAAGACGCTGACAAAATGCAGAGTCTTCTGACTACCATAAGCAACAATGCGAGCATGTTCGGGATGCGGTTTTCCCCCTCGAAATGCAAAATGTTGCTTCAAGACTGGGTTGCATCGGCACCTGAACTAGTGATAATGAGTAAAGTAGTCGAGCGTGTTGATCACTTCACTTATCTGGGGAGTCTCATCAGTGCTGTCGGTCTGGTGACTGACGAAATCTCAGCACGGATATAGAATGCTCGATTGGCCTTTGCCAACCTGCGTCACCTATGGCGTAGGCGTGATATCCGTTCGCTAACCAAAGGGCGGGTGTACTGCGCAGCAGTTCGTTCCGTTCTCTTATATGGCTGTGAAACATGGCCGTTAAGAGTAGAAGATGTTCGTAGGTTACTAGTATTCGATCATAGATGTTTAGGAAGCATTGCTCGTATATCGTGGGACAGCCGAGTAAGCAATGCTGTCGTTAGGAAACGAGTACTAGGCAAGGATGGCAGATCAATCGATGAAGTGGTGAAACTTCATCAGTTGAGGTGGTTGGGACACGTGTTGCGTATGCCTAACCACCGACTGCCTCGACGAACTTTGTTTTGTAGTGTAGGAGTAGGTTGGAAGAAAGTTAGGGGCGGCCAGACCAAAACATGGCACAAATCCATGAAGTCTCTGACAAGTGGACTAAGTCATGTTGGTAGATGTTGACTACCTGGTTGGGGTCCGCGAGACGAAAGTCATCAATGGTTAGAGACCTTGAACGACATGGCTCAAAATCGTTTGCAATGGCGCAGGTGCATCCACTCTTTGTGTTCTCTCAAATCCTAATCTTCTGGATTAGCCAGCACCTCTACCTTTGTCTCTCTAACCTTACCTCACTGAATTATATTTTTTGAATAATATCTTCAAACCCTAGTCTTCTTTATTAACATTAATACCTCTACTATCTTTATCACTATGGGATTTGATTTGACATTTGCGTTTCTGTGCTAATAATGTGGTATGGCAACATGAACTTATGTACATACGTACGAAGTTCTACGTTGCAACTGACTGACTGACTGGCTCATTAGCCTTCTCCAATTCGCTTCGCACATTCGTTCGCATTGTAACCCAAGGAGTTAGCTCAAAAGCCTTCTCCAGTCCATGTCGCTTCATTTATTATATTCACTGCTTCTCCGCTTCACTTTGTGGTGTGTCCCGAATAAATGTATTCATCACTACGAGTTCATGTTCTGATTTATCAACCGTCAGACGCTATTTGGCAACGATTGTCTGAACGAGTTAATTACCGAGTATAAGAACACGCAGATGCATCGACACACTACAAGACATAAACACCGTTGGATGCCGGCCAGTTCAGTGGTCCAGAGGTTAAGCGGTCGTGCGCTAAACCGAAGGTTCTGGGTTCAAGTCCTGCGTGGTGCAGGAGTCTCATACCAGGATGAAACGATCATCTTCCAGTACTTCAAGGTTTCTAATGGTGGTGGGTCAAACAATGATTGATTGATTGATTTCAATGTGTACAAATCAATATAATTCGCTTATTATCTAAATTGTTCGAACAGTTACAATAGGGGGAAATTCGCGGAGAAAGCGAGAAACAGAGAGAACACATCGACAACATCAACAACACCAATCAAAACTTACTTAAATGGTCCAATTGGTATGAAATATTTATAATTTGATAAAGATTTATGCTTTGCAGTTGTTGTTGTTGTTGTTGTTTTATGTGATGACATTGTGAACAACAATCGACTACTAGTAGATGGGGGTTGCGGTGTTTGTGTAATACTACTAATAGTAGCAGTATTAGTAGTATTGATTGGATGATGTAAAATTTTTGGTGTTATACAACAATTTGTTGTTAATAAGTGAAGCTGATGATGATGATTACGATCGAATGGTGAAATCATTGAAAAATTCACATCCATTTTAGCTAACCATAGAGCACGTAAATCACTAGCTAATACCATGAATGGAACAAGATACATTTCGATTTGCTTGAAGAATAAGAATAAAAACAAAATTAACAAATGAACGTGATCAGTAAAACATATACATATACACAGTTTTTTTGTTGTACAAACTGGTGAGTTTCAGTGAATTATCGATTATAATTTGAGAGAACACAAAGAGTGGATACAGCACCTGCGCTATAGAAAACGATTTTCAGTTATGCCATTCAAGATCTCTAACCATTGATGACTTACATCTCGCGGACCCTAACCAGGTAGTCGACACCTACCGACATGACTCAGTTCACTTGTCAGTGACTTCATGGATTTGTGCAATATGTTGGTTTGGCCGCCCATAACTTTCTTCCAACCTACTCCTACACCACAAAACATAGCTTGTTGAGGCAGTCGGTGGTTAGGCATACGCAACACATGTCCCAACCACCTCAACTGAAGAAGTTTCAACACTTCATCTATTGACTTGCTATCCTTAACTAGTACTCGTTTCCTAACAACAACATTGTTACGCAATTGTTCTAGGATATATACTAGCAATGTTTCAAAGACACCTATGATCGAATACTCGTAACATAACAATATCCTCTTTTCCTATCACAAGTTCAGGTGCCAATAAAAAGCCAATCCTAAAGCAACATTTCGCATTTCGATGGGGAGAATCGCAAGTTTCAGTGAAGTCGATTAAAATTCGGGAGAACACAAAGAATGGATGTAGCTGCGCTATAGAAACCGATTTACGACTGTCATTCAAGATATCTAACTACCGGTTACTATTGTCTCGCGTACCCTAACCTGATAGACTATACCTACTTAAATAGTTCAGTCCAGATGTCAATGACTTCATGGATATCTGTGCCATAGTTTGGTTTGACCGCCACTAGGTTCCAGACTACTCTCCCTACATCATACAACATCGCTCGTGGAGCATATCGGTGGTTAGGAATACGCAACACATGTCCTAACCACGTTAACTGATGAATTTTCACTACTGTACCAACTGGTTGGCCATCCTTACCTAGTACCCGTTTCCTAACAACAGCATTGCTTACTCGATTGTTCTAGGATATATACTAGCGATGCTTTGAAGACACGTATGATCGAATACTCGTCCTTTTTTCTTATCACTAGTTCAGGTGCCGATAAAAAGCCAATCCTGAAGCAACATTTAGCATTTCGAAAGGGAGAATCGCATCCTAAACATGCTTGCATTGTTGATTAGGGTGTTCAGAAGTCTTTGCATTTTGTCAGCGTCTTCATCAAATAGAACTATGTCATTGACAAATGAATCTCCTAGTAAAATTTCAACTCCTGAAAAGTCAGACTATGTAAGTGTCACCTCCAAAAACATGTCAATGACAAAGTTGAATAAGAATGGAAAAGTCGACAATCTTGAAGAATTCCACCTGAAGTAATCATTTCCGATGACAGTTGACCATAAGCTCTCACTCGACCAGTAGTGTTTGGCACACCTTTCAATGACAGATATTGTCACAGAACCTCACGATCAACAGAGTCAAATGCCGCCTTAAGGTCAAGAAATACTACTACTATTGTGTGGCGTCTGAACAGGTATCTTGATTCTATGACCTGTCTTAGTGTGAATATCTGGTCTATACAGCCATGTCCATGCTTTCAAAATGAACGCAAGATCTGATTTCCTATCCGCTTCTAAAATTTACAGACTATACACCTACACCACGACTTGAACACAATAGAAAAGGCGTGAAGTACGAGAACAGGTTGAGAAGAAGTACCGAAAAATGAGGATATATATAGAGTTACACATCTCGCTTTAGGAGGATGGCTTAATGTCCTATCAAAATTGTGAGACGTAATTCTACCTTCTTCAGATATTTCTGTTGAGTAACGTTGAAATGTTAACTGGGCTCTCTGGGCCGATATCGACTTTTCCGAGGGACATTTCGGATATCCTTAAAATGAAATAACAGCTATATGTAGTCTAAAACTTATGAAATCATCACCACACCCTTCAGATCTTAGGTTCAATCAATGATGAGGTGGTAGATGAGGAAGAAACATTTATTCCATATTTCCTACATTTCAATAATTTTCTAACTAAGGTCACAACTTCATAATGTAAATAACACACAATGCAACAATCTCCACAAACCCATTACACATCTATCGGTGAATAAATTTGAATGCTGTGAGAATGAAACAGTCAGTCAGTCAGTCAGTTGCAACGTAGAACTACGTACGTATGTATATAAGTTCATGTTGTCATATCACATTAACACAGAGATGCAAATGTCAAATCAAATCCCATAGTGATAAAGATATTGGAGGTATTGATGGTAAAATTTTAATTGGATACAAATCAAAAAACGAAACCTGACATAAACAGCCAACCAATCAGAAGCGGTCAAATAAGCAAGTCATTTAATAACCAGCCAATAATATCTTAAACAAAACGAATGCATATCCATTGGTCAAGAAAAGGATTCATTTTCTAAGGGGCAGGAATATATATATACATATACTTGCATCATGAGTATATATGCATAAAATAAGGTCGCCAAAAAAGATTTTCTCTTTCATTCTTGCTTCCTAGTTGTTGTAATGCTTGCTTGAATGATTCCCAGGTAATTCCCATTGCTTAGTATTCTCTAGACACTACGGTGTGCCTGAGAAAATAGTAAACATCATACGGAATTCTTATGATCGATTCAACTGCAAAATCGTGCACGGAGGTCAGCTGACAGACTCTTTTGAGGTGAAGACCTGTGTCAGGCAAGGTTGCTTACTCTCATCCTTTCTCTTTCTCCTGGTCATCGACTGGATTATGAAGACGTCAACATCTGGAGGGAAGCACGGTATCAACTGGACAGTTAGGACGCAGCTGGACGATCTGGACTTCGCAGATGACCTGGCTCTTCTATCGCACACTCAACAACAAATACAAGAGAAGACGACCAGTGTAGCAGCAGTCTCTGCAGCAGTTGGTGTCAACATACATAAAGGAAAAAGCAAAGTTCTCCGATGCAACACAACATGCACCAACCAAATCACTCTTGATGGAGATGCTTTCGAGGACGTTAACAACTTTACATATCTCGGCAGCATCATCGACAACCAAGGTGGATCGGATGCAGATGTGAGGGCACGGATTGGCAAAGCGAGGACTGCATTTCTACAGTTGCAAAATATCTGGAACTCCAAACAACTTTCAACCAAAACCAAAATCAGGATTTTCAATACAAATGTCAAGACAGTTCTACTGTATGGAGTGGAAACTTGGAGAACTACCAAAGCCATCATTCAGAAGATACAAGTGTTTATTAACAGCTGTCTACGCAAAATACTTCAGATTCGTTGGCCAGACACCATCAGCAACAACGAGTTGGTTGGAGAAAACTGGTGGGCGGCCTATGCTCCATTGGGGGTAACAGGCGTAAGTAAGTAAGTAAGTATTCTCTGACCACAATACACTGGACAAGTTCCCAAGAATCAAAAACACGATGGAACAGGAAAAGATTATATTCCAAAAAGCAAGGTTAAATGGAAATAAGAAGCCAAAGGTGACGGCGAAGGCGAAGGCCGAAAATAGATACAACGTTAGTTTATTTATAGCATTTACATGAGAAGCTTCTGGATTGTAAATAATTCACGTGATCGACTGGATTAGATTTAGCCAATCAGCACGCAGCTAATCATACGAGAATTTCCTACCCTGTTCACCAAGAATCGATCAGGCGCTGATTGGATAGGAAATTAGCCAATCACAGCACGTAGCAACGTAGTCATGCTTTAATTCCATCTATTTCAGTTTACATGGTGGGAGAAAGAGAGTAGAACGTACGACATTTCAGATCTTCGACATTTCACATATCATAACCAACAAAACCCGGTAAAAAACCGATCGATAATCATCAGTTTATTCAAAAAATCAAATCAAATCAAATCAACTTACTTCAATTACATTAGCCATATTACACCCAATACACTGTGTACGTAGATTATCATATTCAATTGTATTTAAATATTCAATAACAATACGTGCAACTGATTCCACAGGTGGACAATCGACTGGACATTCAACTTATTGAAAAAGGAGAAGAAGAAAAAACGACATGCATAAACAAGCAACCCATCATTAGAAGATGAATATGAAAGAATAAAGTCTAATAGGCATTGGTCAGTTCTATTGTTAATGCATCACAATGTAGGTTGTCATTGCTGTTCTATGGCCGAAGTAGATAAAAAAATGAAACTCAGTTGCATTACTGTTTGGGGATGTTAGATCCCAAGAACTCATTTGATAAAAAGGTCCTAATTTTGGATTTTATGTTTGCGAGCATGTGTTGATCAGTTGACTTTGAGATTACATTTCCCAATCGGGAAAACGCTTGAATGTCATTGGTTGATGTATTATTTTAGTAAGCTAATATGTGACTCTTTCTTAAGGACGTTTCTACCATGAATAAATATGCTCGATTGGTGTGCTTGTGGATCTCGTACTTTCTGGGTGCTTGTAGAATACACTTTCAAAGTTAAGTGTACAACATGCTGTTAAGTATCGAAGTCCAGAGTTAGGACCTTCAACACTGACGACAACAACATCAACGATAGAACAGTTCTGTTGTACACAGTGGAAACCTGAAGAACTATAATCACTATCACCAAAGAGTACACGACATGCATAAACAAGCACCCCCATCATGAGAAGTGATTAGAATAATAATAATAATAATAATAATAATATCAAAGAACAAAGTTTGTGGTGGTGTTTCATTCTCTGAGCTGGTTATTTTGGTTGTAGAGCTTTCATTGGTCAAAGGTCAACAGAAACCAATCAAGATCGAGGTTAGCAGAACAAGTTACAGGTGAAAACGTGGAGAAATTTGAATGCTTCACTTCTGTTATCTGAAGTTTGTGTGGCTGATGATGTTGTAGTTCAGTGTGAGAACAATGAAAGCTACACAACCAAAACATCGAGCCAGCTCAGAGAACCAAACACCACCACCACAATCATCCACCTGAGCTACAGGTTTTCTCCACCATCTCAAGAACAAAGTTTAATAGGCAGGTAAATTCAGTTATATTACTGTTTGGGATGTTAGATCCTCAGAACTCATTTGATAAAAAGGTCCTAATTTTGGATTCCAGTTTTAGCGCATAGGCTGATCAGATGACCTTGAGATTACATTTCCCAACCGGGAAAACGCTTGACTGTCATTGGTTGATGTATTATTTTAGTACACTACTTTGTGGCTCTCTTTAGGACGTTTCTATCATGTATAAATAAACTCGATTGGTGTGCTTGTGGACCTTGTACTTTCTGACACCGATAGCAAGGCCTTGAGACGCTCGGATTAGAATAGCCTATCGTGTCACTGGATTACTTGTCTTAGCTCTCGTTTACCGACTAAGGTGACAGCATTGAAGCATATCAATTGACGAGCATAACAATTACAAAACTATGGGTAGTTGAAACTTTTTGAGGTTGTGAGCTGATTAAAGTCTGTTATTATATATTTTGCTTAAGATTTTAATTTATTCGATTCAAAGTTCTACGAGAGCTTATCTGACGAGACAGTTAAGGTGTAATATTTATGATGGAATTTCGTTCTCTGAGTTGGGTGTTTTAGTTTTTGAAGCTTTCA